AAAATGTGACAAACTGGGAACCATACAAAAACAGCAATTAAAAAACCAAAAGATTAATACTAAGACATAAGAAATAGATAATCCACAGAAGGGCAAGAAAGTAGAATTGAATCAAAGGAAGGTTGAATTAGCTTGAAGACAAGTCTCTCAATATTCATCTTCTAAAGGAATAATTGAATACTGGTGTGGCACTGTGGATAAGCACTGGACTGGTAACCTCAATGTCAGTAGTTCAAACTCACCAGCTGTTCTTAAAAACCCTATATAGGGTCATTATGAGTTGAAACTGACTTGATGGTACACAAAAGCAGAGGAAGAATCAGAAAAAAGGAACCAAAATATACTAAGATTCTTGTGGGACACTACCAGGAGGAATTATTTATGCCTGGTTGGAATTCCAGAACAGGAACAGACAAAAAAATATAACATAACAAAACAACACATAGAGAAAACTGTTCAAGAAGTGTTGGAAGAAAACCTCCCTAACATCATGAAAGGGAAGATATGCATTCAAGAAGAAACTCAAAACTCCAAACAGGATAGACCCCAAAACCACAACACAGACTATAATCAAACTTTTCAAAACCAAAGACAAGGAAAGACTTATGAGAGCAGCTCAGGAAAAATGAAGAGCTACTTACAAAGGAGAATTAGATTTCTCAACAGAAACTACGGAGGCAAGAAGACAATGAGATGACATATATAACTGAAAGAAGAAAAGCTGTCAACCAAGAATCATATACATCTCACAAATACGATGACAAAACCATGACAAATACACAGAAAGTAAAAGAATTTGTAAACAAACAAACAAAAAAAACAACTGACTTCAGACAGAACCAGTAACAGCAGACAACAACCTGAGATTAACATATATGACAACATCATCCCAAACTCAACCCAGTTATACAAGTATTCCAAGTAAAGCAAACCTACAAGACTGCAAAACGGGAATCAGAGATACCAGTTTCCAACAACAACAAAATGTAAGTAAAAAGAGGGGATAATGTAGTTACAGAATTTCCGAATGAAGAGGAAATCAAGCTGATTTCAAGGAAAAAAACACACCTAACCATACCCTAAAACTATCCTAGCTCAACCCCTAGTCCTAACGCTAAACCAAGTCCTAAGCCTAGCCTAGATGGAGTCATAGTCCTAAAGTCAGGAAGCTTGCTGTTGTTAAGTGTGGTCGAGTCAGTTTGAACTTAGCAACCCTGTAGGGTTTTTCAGTGACTGGTGGGTTTGAACTGACAACCTTGTGGTTTGTCATCTAGTGCTTATCCTTATCCAGTGCCACACCAGGACTCCAAGTCCAGAAGCAGCATTGTTTATTGTTTAAGTATAAAAGAAGTAGAGTCCTAAAAAGATTTCCCCTTCATTCTTCAATGATTTCGCCTCTGCAGAAGAGAAAAATTGTTAAATTACTTAAACTAGCATAATTTATTTTTTAGAACCCCACAAATATCTAAGTAAGTAAGGCATGCATTAGGCTTCTAGATAAACAGTGCTTAGCAAATTGATCATCCAAGTCTTTTCAAATTTTTCTTGACAAGTATCAGCTTTAAGCATTTGCTCTAGTTTAAGGAACATGTGTTAAGAGTAACACTACTAAACAGCTTTACAGTATAGCAAACACATCCTAAAAGCAGTCATTATCCATACCCTTTTCCTCTGATTAAAAAGAGGTATATTTTATGCTTTTTGGTAGCAAATTAACAATCTGGATCCTGAATCATCTTTTGTAGGGGCATAATGTTTAGTTTGATGTAGTTTTTTGTTCTTAAGAATATTCTAAGAAGGTATCTGGCTATTAGCCTCTTAAAGGAAGACAAACTGCTCTTTTATATATGACTACTGGCTCCCATTATAAAAAAACAAAAAAACCCCAAAATGATTATTTGGAGGATTTTAGCTATAATCCAAAATACATTTTGGATATTTCAGCCTGGTTATGGCATATTTAAAAAAAATTTTTTTAGATTAAAAACTGGAAGCAAATTTTTCTAACTCACCATGAACGAACAAGTTATTGCTGCTGTTACGTTTGTCAGAGTACATCTGCATAGTCAAGTGATATCCTAAAGTATTGTACTCTCAGATCTTGGTGCATATAATATACAATTTCACATTAGATCCAGCCAGTAAGCATTAGCATTTTAGGTGCAATTATCAAACAGGTCTCAAGTGCTGCCCTGGGTCTGAACCGAAATTTGAAGAAATTTATTCTGAATCTAACTTAGAATATGGGAGGCTCATGCCTGTAACCCCTTAAATTTCTAGAAATCTTTCTAATTTGGAAGTTTGTAATACATTAAAAAATGGTACTAGACATGTTTAAAAGGCCATTTATCCTTAAAAATACTAGAATGTTAGTTGAAAACCTACTAGAAATACTAACATTTATTATTTTAAGCTATTCTGATCATAGAAATAATTACATTTTAGAAAAGGGAAAATAATCATTTAAAAAAGTTTATTTCTAGTCCTGAAAGAATAAAATTATTGAATAAAGTCATCAAATACAGCAGTTAATGTCAATGTAACAATTAAATAGAACAGAATTAAATTAAAAATGAAAGGCAATGTAAAATTTGAAGAGAAAAGACAAGCTACTTTCACTTAATTTCATTTCTATCTACCAAAATAAAGGGAAGTGGGTTTGGGGAGGGGGAAGAAAGCCACACATTCTTACCAAAGATGAAGGCCAAGCCAATGCAAGCTAGAGTCTTCTTTGTAATTCCTACACGTCTACCAGTGTCTTTGCCAGATAGTTCAATAAGTGGGTTGAGAAAAGAATGTGTATGTATACATTTTTGTTTTTCAAACACACACACACACACACACACACGTATTTTCACATACTTTGTGGGAAAACTGTTCTAACTGCTTAAATATTATGGGGGCAGCAGAGGAAGACAAACTGCTCTTTTATATATGACTACTGGCTCCCATTATAAAAAAACAAAAAAAACCCAAAATGATTATTTGGAGGATTTTAGCTATAATCCAAAATACATTTTGGACATTTCAGCCTGGTTATGGCATATTTAAAAAAATTCTTTTTAGATTAAAAACTGGATGCAAATTTTTCTAACTAGAGCTACTGCCTGATCTTATCCAAAACTCTTCTGAATAAAATACAGAATATATAAACAAACATGTATGTAAATGAGCCTTACCAAGAAATACTCATAGGTAGTTTTAAAATGTTTGCTAAAGGCACAGGTTCATTCATCTGGTAGTTACTAGATACACTTTAAGCAGCTTAATATTTGTATTGAAAGGAAAACAATCCCTACTATATGTACCAGACACTCAACCCAAAGCTGTGCTAGCCATGGCTTCATTATGCTAGCACCGTCACTCATTTACTAGTCCTGGTAGGACCAAACAGTCAGTATTTTCATCTTTTCCCAGTTTTAGCTGTCCTACTGGCAACATACAAAACTGACTTTAAGATCTCCAGAGAGTCTGAAACATAATAAATAAGCACTAGATAATATTGCCCCAGTAACAGAAGACTAAGGTAACTTTCAGTTTCAGGTGAGAATTTTCATTCTAAAGTGATGACATCAAAAGTGAATTCAAAGGCAATTATTAAAAAAAGCATAAATCTTGATTTAGATATCATGGTTCTTTCAACAAGATCAGAAGAGAACACTTTAATTTAAAATTAACTAATGAATCACAATTTCCATATTGGTTTGCAGATTATTTTGTTTAAAAATGACACATTTCATAATTAACCAAAGTATATTTCAACTACAGGTTAGTTAATTCAAGAAAGTAGAGAATAAACCCCAGAATAGCTCCCTTAACCTAGAGGTCAGGTTTTGATGACGAAGTCCGTTGCCAGCAATGGACGTGCAGGTAACCATTAAAAAAATTGCAAATACAAATCCCGAACTGCTTCTTATAGAAAGAAAAGCACTTTGTTGATTTCCAGGCACACGAATGGGGCATTGGCACTGTATTCAATGAGCATGACTAGCCTTGCCGGCTAGTCAGGATGATCACAGTCTTACCATCTAGTAGATTTTCTATTGCACTGGCAGCATCTTCTTTATCAGAACCCACCCAAAAAACTGTTTACAAAGAATGTGCAAATCTGTAACCCAAGAGGCACAGTAGCTTGCCACCAGAAAAAAAACCAGGGTGTTTCTGTCAAGTAATTTAGACATAGCTATAGAAGGCAATACAATAATACAGAGAAAAATAGTGCTCTAGCTATATGTTTCGTTATTTTACTAACCTTTGTGAAAAACTTTTCCTAAAATCAGCCATTTTGTCCTTACATTTATTCTCTTTATACAGGTCTTATGGGAATAATCACTACAAAGCCCAGATTAGTTCCCTCAATGTACCCCAAAACATCAAAATGATTTTTACTCATGATTTGTACTAATGCAGGCTGGTAGGGAGGTGTGAACTACCAGAACTAAGCCACAAATTAACTTCTTTTCTGTGGCTGCTGGCATTATCAGCAGAGATGATTTCTCCTCCAAACGCAAAACAAAATAATGCCAGGAGGACAGGGCAAGAGGAGTAGACAGCAGGGCAGAGGAGAGTGCACTCTAATCATTAACGCTACAGGTCACAGACCTTTTAGTTTTTAATTAGAAAAAAAGTATTACTACCATCAAGCACATTTCACTTTTATCTTCCTTTCTCCAGTTTTTCACTTGAATATTAGCTACTGAGCTGAAAAATATCTAAAGTAACACAACTTACCATATGAACACGCATTCATCGAGAGAAATATTTTGTCACTTAAGTTCTCTTAGCCACTAAGATGTTGATACTGGATTGGGAACAATGTAATTTACGGTAAATCTCTATGGTTTATCACATCTCCATGTAACAGACATTTCTTCCTTTTCATAAATATTAAATTATTTTTTTAGTTCACCAAGATTCAAGTCTCCCATTCTGTCACTGCTATCCTCAAATATTTTTATCTTCTAATTGGGGGGGAGGGAGTGAGATGGAGGGAGGAGAAAGAAGGAAAAGTTAAACTTTTAAATTCTACAAATTCAATGGTTATCTTATTGTTTGCCTCAGGGGCAGGGTGGAGTTAATTTAAGGAAACAAACAACCTACATCTAAAATTACAACATATACAGAAACCTATTTGCAAAATGAAGGAAAGGAGGGAGGAGGAGGAAAGAGAAGGCAGTGGCACCAACCAAAGTCATAAAGCCCAAGAAGTAAATCACTTTGGTTCCAGAAGCCAAGTCTGAAGAGAAGACAGGCAGAAAGGAAGACAAAACTGTGGGAACAAATAGTCAATGGGAGTCTTATTCTGATTCAATGATTTAGTTATAAATATAGATTATTAGTCTTTCTCTATACATGTAACAAAAGCCAAACAACTCACTACCATGAGATTTCTAAAACGGACTCTTTCACATTTGTTTAAAAAAGGTAAAAATCACATACTTTTCCCTCTTTTCAGTTCAAGTTCTGAACTGGGAATAGTACATGTAACAATAGCTGGTCCTAACTTCTATAAAAACTTCAACCATATCTAGCCCCTTTGCTGATAAAAACAGATATATAATTTCTATCACACCTGCCTTAAATTTAGGTGAGAAAAACTTCTCAATGAAACTCAAAAGGAGCAAGTCAAGGAAAAAGAAAAGTTAAGAAGAGAAAATATCACTGGCAGATGAAACAAATACTCTGAGAACTCGAATGTGCCATTCAAGTATTGAAAATACCCCAAAGGGTACAGTGAATGGGATCTATGACAACAAAGTCAGCAAGATAAAATCAAATGCAAATCTCAAGCATGATAAATGGGCCTGATGGGCTGCTTGCCGAAAGGTGTAAAGGCTAGTGATTCAATCCATGCTTCCTTTTGGACCCTAAAGAAGGGGTTCATTTCAGAGTCATAATTCTGTTTAGCAATTTCCTCTTGGTTGTCTTCAGGGAGTAGTTTGCTTTATTCTTCCATGTTTCATGCAGACAGTTTCTTTCAAACCCCCGAAAAGAGTAAGAATTTTCATATATTAAAAGACTTCTTATAGAAAATGGAAAAAAAAGACTACAAGGCCACGGCACTGACGTTAGCGGTTACTCTTCATTGCATCTTTAGCTGCCATGATCAACGGTGTCAAACTAGATAACGGCTTGGCCAGTTTCAGGAAAGGATGCTGCCAGATTAGAGAGGAAAAGAAGATCAATGTGTAAATGTTATCAGCTTAGAAATGCTCAATATTTTCTTTCAATTAAGCCTCAAAGGCTGACTTATAGACAATTTATTTAATCAGCAACACATTTTAGTATCTGTATATAATCAACATAACCAACACATCACTTGAATAGTTGGAAGCTGAGTCTTTAAAACAGTTTTTCTAATATTCTTAAAACACACAGTTAAATGACTCCTGCCAGTAGTGAGCAGGTCTGAGAATTGAAAATGTGTAAGAATTCATTATGATAGTATCATCAGTATTTCATTCCCAGCAGGTGAATCTTAAAATGCAGTAACTGCCATATTGAAGGTGATGAATAATGAAATATAACTATCAACTTTCTGTTGATTATTCAAAAAAAAAAAGTCAACGTTTTCAAAGTAGGGCATTGTTTCCAAACACACCTGTAACAACTCTTTGGCTGAACCCCTTTTTTCCACATCCATCTCCAAACATCGATTTAAGAAGTCCCGAAATATTGGGGAAAGTTTCTCTGGATTCTGAAGTTCTGGGGTTCCATTAGTTGCTATCAGGTACAAGGCCTAAAAGGAGAACATCTCTGTCAAACACAATCCTCATACATAGTATTAAAGTAACATTGTCTCTACCCATTTACATTTGCTCTGCTTCCTTTATGTTTAGATGTTACATTGACTTAAGTTCTTTCTCAAGATAGTCAGCTTCTGCTCTATTTGGGAAGTAGGGCATAAATGCAATATATATTCGTCAAAAATAAATAAATAAATAAATAAAAACAACAATTATAATAAAGGTATACTAAGAAATGACAAAAATGTCACCATTAACATACACATAGTACAATTCTTACCTTTCCTAAGCTTTTTTCAAGTCACACATATACCTTTTACAAGAATGGGATTTAAAAACTAAAAATTTACATCATCATTTCATGGTTACTAATAACTAATGGCTGGTTATGTGTTATATGGATATTTCATACTTTCATTAAAACTTTACTGTATTCTTTAAGTACTTCTCAGTATTTATTTAAAACTCCTAGCAGTAGAATTTTTACTTAATTAGTAGACTGCTTTTTAGAGGAGTTCCCATATATCCTATCTTCCACAGCTTTCCCTATCATTAAAATTGGTTATTACAACTGATGAATACTGATATGTTATTATTAACTAAAGTCCAGTTTAAGATTCACTTTTTGTGTTATGTAGCTCTATGGGTTTTGACATGCATTTGTCCACAATTATAGCACCATACATAAGTTTCAGTGCCCCTAAAACTCTGTGTTCCACCTACTCATCCTTTTCCAACCCAACCTCCACCTACCAATCTCTGCCAGTCACTGATTGCTTTATCGTTTTTGTCTTTCCAAAATCTCATATAGACAAAATCATACAGTAGGTAGGCCTTTTTCAAACAGGCTCCTTTCATGGCTTGATAGGTCATTTCTTTTACTGATGAATAATATCTCCATTGTAGGGATGACCACAGTATATCCATTTACCTATTGAAGGCCCTCTTGGGTTGCGTCTAGCTTTTGGCAATTACGAATAAGCTATTATGAACATTCATGTGCAGGCTTTTGTGTAGACATAAGTATTCAGTTCATTTGAATAAGTATCTGAAAACATGACTGCTGCATTACATGGTGAGATTGTTAAGCTTTGTTAAGAAATTGCCAAATCATCTTCTCTAGTAGATGTACCATTTTGCATTTCTACCAGCAATGAATGGGAATTCCTACTGCTCCATATCCTTGTCAGCATTTAGTACTGTCAGGTTTTTGGATTTTAGCCATTTTAATAGGTGCATTGCTGTTGTCAAGCACCACTAAGGTAGCTCTGATACACAGCGACCTTGGTGTATATGGGTTCCAAGGAGCAGCTGGTGGGTTTGAACCACTGGATATTGTGGTTAGCAGTCCAGTACTATCCTACAGTGCCACAACAGGATTCCACATAGGTGTGTATTTGAGTTTGCAATTCTCTAATTACACAAGATATCTTCTCATATGCATATTTGCTATCTACAGATCTTATTTGATGTCTGTTCAGTTCATCTGTCAAATTTTAAAATGGGCTATTTCTGTAGTAATCGTTTTGAAGGTTCTTGGTGTATTTTGGAAAATACTTAGTCTTTCCATTAGGTATATTTCTCCCTGCTGTGGTTTGTCTTTTCATTCTCTTACACTGCCTTTTGAAAAGCAGATGGTCTGAATTTTAATAAAGTCCAACTTACTAGTTTTTATTTTATGGACTGTGCTTTTGTTGTTGTATCTAAAATTTCATTGCCAAAACCAAGGTTCCCAAGATTTTCTCCTGAATGACATTTTTTCCCCAGTGTAAGTGCCAAAAATATGCATTTTTTTATTCCAGTTATGGGAAATGACACACAAAAGGGGGCTAACATTAATTTGGAAAATCTGGAGCAGATATACTTGTGTATATGCATGGACTTACTTTCAGATTTTAGTCTCATCACTGTCTTTTTCTTTATTCCTTTTTGGTCTTTTAAAAACATCCTTAAAGGTCATCAAATGCAGCCTAATACTTCTACACTGTCTATTCATCAATCATTCAGTACTGTTTGGATTACTGTGGATTAATCACATATGTGATTGGTCAAACTGTTCATTATAAGACATAAGGGGAAAAGTTTTGATTTAAATCATACTACATTTAGTTACCCATTACATGATTTTTCATCATTATTTGCAGCTTCACACATCTTGTAGTTCTTTATGCAGTCAATTTCAGCATCTAGTGCTGTACATATCTATTATCTTCTGAATGGAACTGCCCCAATCCATTAGGCTGAAGTCAGGTATAAATTATGTAGTACCTGAGGTGGATTCTGATTTGGTCTTTGTTTCTGAGTTCTGTAGGCAAAGATACTAAATGTTTCAGTACTTGAGCTGTCTTTGTAGATTTTGTTTTAGTATGAATTTCTTAGTATGAATTCAGCTGCTTCATCAATTTACTGGCTGGTAGCGTATGTCTTTTTCCTAGTTACTTTTGCAATTACTACTGATTGAACTGGGTAGCAAACAGTTGCTCCTAAAGTGGCTAGTCTCAATGGATAAACAATTTTCATAAATCTAGAACCTTTACTTTCTGAAATCAAGCCTGCTAATTCTGAAATGGAATCCTGGTGTGGCACTGTGGGATAATGCACTGGACTTGCAAGGTAGGTTTGAACCACAAGGTCAGAGTTCAAATTCACCAGCTGCTCCTTGGAAACCTTATACTATGCGACTATGAGTCAGAACTGACTTGAAGGCACTTAACAACAAAAATCCTGAAACAGGAATCACTCCAATTTTGGGAAGAACATCTTCAGTTGGATTCTTCAGATAAACATATGCATCTTTTCCAAAATGTTCTGTATCAATGAATGATCCCCATTCTCTACAAGGACATATACACCGTTGCACCAGCCAATATATCAACCAGTTGTATTGTAGATGGAAACAAAGTCTGTTTGCCAACAATCAGGCTCCCCTTCAACATATTTGGACTACAGAGGCGGTACAGCATATAAGAGGAGCTGCTCTGGGCTCACCAGCTGCTTATTGCTGTTGTTAAGTACCGTGGAGTTGGTTCCAACTCATAGCGACCCTGTGCGGGGTTTCTGAGGCTGTAAATCTTTACGGAAGCAGAAAGCCTCATCTTTCTTCCGCAGAACAGCTGGTAGTTTTGAACTGTTGACTTTGAGGTTAGCAGCCGATTCATAACCACTACGCTACCAGAGTTCCTTGTTAGGTTCCTCTTTTTTGGCTGCAATTACACTGATAGATGTATAGTATCAGACCTGTGGTGGTGTGCCGTGGTGGAGTTGGTTCCAACTCACAGTGACCCTGCACAGGGTCTCTGAGGTGGTAAATCTTTATGGGATAAGAAAACCTCATCTTTCTCCTGGTTCTTTCTAACTGCTGACTTTGAGGTTAGTAGCCCAACTTGTAACCACGATGCTACCAGACCTGTAGGCACATTTATCAACTTTCTCACCTGACTAGATTTTACTTCTTACTAAGACACTCCCCTCCCCTAATGGCCACCATTCCTGTTACCCTCCTCCTGGATTATTTTCTAAGACTTCTATCTGGATTGCTGTTATAAAAAACACAACGGTACCAACTGACATGGAGCCCATCAATGTAGAAGTGCATCCATTTCCTTACTGCTTAAGTTCTCTTCTCATTACATGATGTTTGCTCCAAAGTTCTTACTGAATCTAATTGTTTTACAGTGAAATATTTTAATGTAAATGACATACACTAAGATATTTCCTCCCTAATTATTTGGGATTTTTCACCTAACCCTAATACCATTAGCACACTTAACTGAAAAAACCATTTTCATCGAACTAATTCTAACTCACAGCAACTCTAAAAAGCCAGAGACCAGCACCGTAGGCTTCTCCTAGGGATAGAAATCTTTAGGAAGCAGGCTGCCACATCTTTCTCCTGTGGTGTGCTTGGTGGGTTTCAAACCACCAACATTTTGGTTAAGCAGCTGAGTGCTTTAAGCAATGCTAACTAAAAGATTGGCAATTCAAACCCACCAGCCACTCCAAGGGAAAAAGATGAGGCAATCTGCTTTCCTACAGTTCTAGGGCTCCTCGACCTAATGGAAATTACTATAATTCTCTAACAGCCAGTCCATATTTATACGAACACTCTCTACAATTGTACCTAAATGTCTTTTTCAGTTGTGTTCAAATCTTACCTAATTACAGATAATACATTGCATTGACTACTTTGTCTTTGTCTTTATTTTAAATCTAGAATAGACTCCTTCCCTATTTTTTTTTTCTTTAATAACATTGACTTGAAGAAGTAGGGTCATTTCTCATACAGAATGTATTACCTTCTGGATTTTTCTCATTATGTTCTTATCCTTTTATTTTGCATAAAGTAGAAATTGGATCTGAAGGCTTAATTAGGTCCAAATTAAATACTGTAGCAAAAGTATTTCATAGGCCATTCTACTTCACATTGCTTCAGGAGAATATCAAGAGGCAAATATTGTATGATTGTTCCAATCTTAAGGATTCTAAGATTGATCCTGGATTAAGATGGTAGCCAGATTTCTTTATTATAGAGTTAGTTTTTCCCCTGCAACCACGAAGTAATCTGAATGAGGGAAGAGGTGTTTTGATGCTATGAAACCTTTCGAATATACAAATTGCACTCCATTTGTAATGGCTTTATATCCATTGGGGATCTGTACCTGAATCAATTAGAGATTACAAAATGAAAACATCTTAATTCTGGTATTCTTTCTACACTTATCAGCTGACATTTTTCTATAAAAAAAATAGGTAATCCCTCCTATCCCCAATACTCCAAACTGTCTTTCTACTTTGAAACTAATCTTTTTATACTCATTATCTTCATTTATGCTAATGATTACAAGGCTAGGGCTCACAGTCATCCTTCTTTGCTTCTGTATTCTAAATCCCATATGGCTCTGCAGACCCCATTTTCTGACCTTATTATTTTACATATACTTTCCTTTTTTGCTTCTACTTTGCTCTGAAATTCAAATTCAGTCACTTATCAGCA